GAGTGTCAGGTTCATAGAGGACCCCAGAGGAAAGGGTCCCCGGCCTCCCCGGCAAGTTGAAGCCTCCCCGGGGGCAGAACTTCACTGAGAGGAATCTGAGAACACTGGCCCCTGCTCGGGGCCTGTCTCTGAGCCTGGACACTGACCACAGTGGGTGGTGGGGGCAGCTCTCTGGAATGCTGGTGTTAGGTTGCAGTGCAGATGTGAGCAGTGATAATGGGCAGGAACTGGACTTTCTGGTCTGGCTGCTGCCCCCAAGGCCATTGGAATGTGAGGGGGAACAAGCAAGAGGCCCCAGGGACTTGGGGTGGGCAGATGGAGACCAGACCACCTAAATGGAGAGGAGGGGACAGACCACCGGCAGAGAGGACCAAGTTCTAGCCCTGTCACTGAATAGCAGACTGCAACAAAAGCATCCTGAAATTCCCAGTCCACGTAGGACCTTGCAGGTCTTCCCGGCCTCCAGGTCGAGTCCCAGGCATCCAGAGCTGTGAGAGAGACCTTGGAGCTCTTCTGGTCCAGTCTTCTCATTTCACAGCCTCCAAAACTGAGGCCCGCCAGGCCTGGCTGGCCCTCCAGCCTGGGCAGGTGAGCGAGCCACTTGGGTCTCTCGAGCTTCACTTCTCTCTGGTTGGAAAAGGGACTGTCTGTCCTTTTCTGTCTTCCCAGAGCAGGCTGGCAGGCATGCTTTTGTTTTTCTTGGGTCCTTTCTGGGCCCCAGGCTTTGTCAGTTGGTGTAGTTCTGGATGTGAGTTTTAACCAGCAAAGCTTGGCTGGGGGCTCCTGTCAACCATGACAGAGGGTCCCTGAGTTTCTCAGACACCCCGGATGCTGAGCTGAGTGGTTTGAGGGTCACCTGTGTGTTGGTGCTGGTGGTGAACTAACTCATAGTCATAGAAGCAGTCCTAGTGTTATGGAGCTACACTGTCTTAAAGTGCTTTATGTATTAATTTAGTTGATTCCCACAATTTCACTAATAGGTATTACTAGTTCTATTTTACAGATGAGTAAACAGAAGCCCAGAATGATTAGTTAACTTGCCCAAGGGTACAGAGTATGTAGATGAACTGGGATTTAAACCCAGGTCTGCCTGACCCAAAATGCAATGGCTGGAGTTCCTGAGAAGGGGCTAGAGCCCTTTGAGAACACAATCAGTATTAATGCCTCAGAAACAGAGGCAGGTGCATGGGTATGTGCAGGGTTGGGGTCGGGGAGTACTGGGAGTAGAGGACAGCTTAGAACTCTGGCCAAAGTGGGAGCCACTTCTGGGTGGGCCAGACAGGGCTACCGGCGCCCCCTCCTATCCCCAGGCACTGCTGGAGGCCCTTGGAGACTCGGGAGGGTCAGTTGGGCTGGGATGCTGGGCTCCACGTGGAGTCTTGCCCTACCTGTGAGGTCGGGCAGGGCTGGCTGGGGCGGAGCTGGCTGGCTGGAAAGGAAATTGGGAGGGAGGGTCCTAGGGCCGCTGGAGGTGGAGGTGGGAGTTGCTTCTCCGCAGAGGGAAGACTAGCTACCTCCCCCTGGGGCCCCCTCAGCTCCCTTTCCCTTTCTAGTTTCACAGAATAATGATGCTGATTGCTCCACATCTGTCATAATTACTCTTTGTTTGAAAATTCAGAACAGATCACAGGAGAGGAACTGGTGTGACTCAGGAAGGCTCCTTCTCCCCAGGGGTTCTGTTGGGGGAGGGGCAGTAGGAAAAGCCACAATTAGGCTGGAGGAGCCAGGCTGCTCTCTGATTGTCCTTGCTGGGGCAAGGTGGCCTAGGGCCTCTTGGAGTTACATCCCCCCACCCCCGCCAGGCCACAGTCTCTGCCTGCCATGCTGGCTGGGAGACGCTGCCCCATCCCAACCTGAGAGTCCCCTGCCCTCCTGGCCCCACTGAACAGTGGGTTGGGTGAAGGCACAGTAACCTGAGCAGCACAGCAGGCAGGGGCAGCCCCAAGGATGGTGCAGAGGTCCTTATTGGAAGAGTGGAGCGGTTGTGGGTCCCTGGAAAAGGGGCAGGCACTGGGTCTCAGCGGTGAGAACCCGTAAAGGGACTGCTGCTTCCAGGGAGCACCACACCAGACCCTCAGAGCCTGTAGGAGCCCTGGCAACTCAGGGCTTTCACATTCACTTCTCCGCAGTCTGACCTCTCGAGAGGGCCTTGCTTCCAGCTCCCGTCCCTCGCCCAAAGGACCTCGATTTAGGGGGCTAGTAATTCCTTGGCGGGTGCCCCAGCCTGTGGCCCTGCCTGCCTGCCACAGCAGCCCTCCCTGTCCCCTCTCAAACCAGCCCTTCCCACCTGGGACTGTGTCTACGGAGACTCTGCGCACTTCTGTGGGGAGAAACCGGGGACAGCCCGGAATTCATCCCCAAACCCGACTCGCAATAAAGCCCCAGCGTTCTCACCTGGAACCATGGGGGCCTGCAGTCCCCCTCAAGGAGCTGAAGCTGGTGCAAGATGCACAGAGACTTGCTCTGAGGGCTGGTTCTGGGTTCAAACTTTCTCTCTCCCTCGAAGGCCTCAGTTTGTCTTTGTGGGACATGGGTGGGAGCACGGTCCTGCCTGCCTGCCGAAGGGGAGAGGATGAGCAGGGTCCTGCCGCCCATCCACCAAGAGAGGCACCATTAGTTTATGTTTCGGTAGGGCAGAGACAGGACCCCACAGGAAGTTCCAGGCTTGGGGTGGGGGTCACCTCCTCTAATCCCACCATTGCTGACTGGGGGTCACGAGAGGAGTTTAGCCTTGGCTCAGGCACCATCGTGCTTACCTCTGTGCCCTCCTGGCTCCCTCGTCGGTAAGAAACTGCTTTAAAATGTACATATTCCACTCATCCCTGTGCGACTATGGATCCACAAGGGCACCTCCCTGAGCCTCAGTTTCCTCGTAGGAGGCAGGTGGTGTGGAGAGGACCACACGAAAAGATTCCTAAGGTCCCTCCCACTTCTACAATTCTGAGACACTGACGCGTTGTAGCATGGTTCCTCCTCCCCGTTTTCCCCTCCCTGCCTCCGGGCTCACTCCAGGTCTCTCCTGGGTCTCCCTCCATCCCTGTCTCGAGCTCTGCTAGAGGCTGAGCTGGGTGGCCCTCCTCCTTTCGGAAATGTCAAGATCAAAGTTTTGCAGAGAAAGCTCTAGTCATTCTTACCCTCTTTCACTGCCTCTCTGTGGGAGCCGCCCTCCTCTCACCTCCGCCAGCTCATGTGTCCAAAGCTGCTGGCGGGCCCTCGGGGCTCCAGGACCGTGTCCCCGTGGGATGTTGGGGTGAGCTTGTCCGTCCCGTGCGCTCCCAGAGCCGGGCCTCCTGCGAAGCCGATACCACGCAGGGCCAAGAGCCTCGGAACGAGAGTGGCTGGGGAGGAGCCTGCTTCGCAAATGACCTCTGTCCCTTGCAGCGGGCAGGAGGTGCGACCCCTCCCTCCAGCACAAAGCGGCTGCTTCTGGCTTAGAGCTCTGCGGCCCCACGCACAGCAGAATCAACGTGCATTGAACCCTGCGCTGCTCAGGGACAGACAAGCCTTGTCACCGCTCCCGGGTGTGTCTGTGATTGTGAAGATGTGTGTGCGTGAGAATATGTTGTCTGTGAATGTGCGTGTGTTCTTCCTTGCTTCCTGGAGCCCTCAGCTCGGCACCTGGGAGTCACAGCTTCCCTGGCTGATCCTGGCCAGGGTGGGAAGAGACTATCACTTGCTAACTCTGTGATTTACTCTGCCCGCCCCCCCCCCCCCCGCCCATCCAGGAGCCCGGACCTACTGGTCCCAGCAGGTGAAATGAAGCAAGGGAGTGGAGGTCTTGGGTTACTGGCTCCCTTTCTCCTGATTGGCTTGGGGTGTAGTCCAGGGACTACTGAGGAGGAGCTAGAGCCAGACAAAATTTGTGGGCAGACCTTTCTCAACAGGCCAACTCTGCGAGGAAAAGGAAGAAAAGAAAGCCTTTTCCAATAGCAGATGAACACAGGGGTAGGTGCTTGTCGCTTAAACAGTGCTCGGGAGTGTTCTCACCTCTGGGACAGACAGGATTGGGGAGGGGGGTAAAGCTTTCCAGGATTTGGTGACCCTCCTGCCCATGTTCCCGTTATCACTGCCCTGGAAGCTGAGACAGAGAGAGAGAGAGAGCCCCGCCCAAGGCCTGGGTACAGAGAGCTGGGAGGGAAGGTCCAGGTGCTCTTTCCAACAAACAGGTTGATTGGCCAGATGGGATTTGGGCTCCAACTTCAGAGCCAGGATCTTGAAGAACTGAAACCCAGTATTTGGTTTGTGATAAACAATTCTTGATTTGTTTTTAGACAGGGGAAGGGAGGGAAGAGAGTTAGAGAAACATCAATGTGTGGTTGCCTCTAATGTGCCCCCACTGGGGACCTGGCCTACAACCCAGGCATGTGCCCTGACTGGGAATTGAACTGGCGACCCTTTGGTTCGCCCTCGCTCAATCCACTGAGCTACACCATCCAGGGCCAATTCTTGGATCTTTTTCTGCCATCTTCACCCCTTGTTCGGTTACTTTTGTTCTGTCTTCTCCATCCTGGCTGTATGAAACGTCACCCTCTTTCTGCAATAATTCCCTTCACCCTCATTTTTGGAGATCTCTTACAATGGTATTCCAAACCTCTGGTACCTTAGAAAAGCCCTAATTTAGTCCCACTTACCAATCAGATGAGAATATTCTTCCTTCTATTATGTCAGATTACCAATAATGATGTTATGTAGAATGAGTCTCTGGATCGTGCCTGCTGGATATTCCTGCCCCCCTGTGTTTCTGACTTTACTTCTCAAATCAGTCATTTTCTCATCAAACTGTGACAAAAATCAAGATAATTACAAGCAAGCTGCTAATGGCGATATTGATAAGATCAAGGCTTTCCTGAAATAAAGTGATAGAGCTTTCATTACATCATCAATTCAAGAAAGATGCATCGGTCTGTGTGCCCAGCTTCGCTTTTTGGGGGTGGGAGGAATCAAAAGACTTAGTCTATTCAGAGACAGTGAGTGTGTAGCTTGTCCCTCTCACTGGTCTGCAGACTCCTTGAAGGGAGGGGCTAGCTCCTCCGCATCCTCAGTGCTGAGGGTGGGACTTGGCCTGGAGTTGGTACCTGGAGAGGGTGAGAGAACGGGGAGCTGTGGGTATATGAGCACCTCCTGCCTGCGGTGGGCCCCTCACCCACTGGAGCTAACAGCCTGGGGCTGGGGGGAGGGGTGACAGTTGAGTCAGATACTACTCCCCAAGGGCCTACGGGGTGGTTTCACCTAAGCCGTTCTCCCAGGCTCCTGAGTCCCTATGTCAGGAGCTGAGAATGGCCACGGGTGCATCTAACTGTGTCCTAAGTCTCCTATCCCACACTCTTCTGGTCTTTAAAGGCACCTCTATCTCCCTGTTCTGTTCCTTTGAAACACCCTTCTCCCAAGGGCCACCTGGGGGAGGAGAGGGATTAGACTGAGTGGAAGGCAATAACTCAGTGCTAAGTGGGAAGGACTTGGCCTGGTGAGTTCAGACCTCAGTTTTGCCACACCAGGAGGGTGGGTACTGGTAATCAGTCACCCTAGGGTGGGACACCTTCCCAGGCAAGCTGGAGAAAGTCCCAGAATGCCAGACCACTGGCCTCATCCACCAAAGAGCTGATAGGCCAGGTTCCATGCTAAGAAGCATCCCTCCGCCCTCAAGTAGTCGTGCATCCTCTTTGGAAGCACTAGCCTTGCACGCACATGCCCACCTTTCTGTTATCTTGAAAAGTCAGGACTGGGTAACAAAGCATTCTGTGAATGCAGGTTGCTGTGGAAATGGTAAAGGGAGAGAAAAAAACACATTCTCATTATTATACTCATTATTTTCCTATCGGAATACTCCCCCACAGAGCATTATTTTTAAAGTTACTTATGGTCTTGGGTTTGGAGAAAGAAGAGATGTGAGCAGAAATAGGCTTCTTTTGAAAGCACTTTTTCAGTTTGAAGTATTGAGTCTCTAATTTAGGCCTGGAGGCAGCTCTTGCTTTTTGAATAGGGGATCATTTTCCAAAGTACAATTTATCTGGGGATTAGACATTCAGGCACTCTTGCTGAAATATGGGCAAACCATAAAGACACATAGAATAATATATAGTAACAATTATATTTGTAGTTCCTGTTTGAATGGTCATTTTATTTATTGATTTGAGAGAGACATTGATTTGTTGTCCTGATTATTTATAAATTCATTGGTTGATTCCTGTGTGTACTCTGATTGGGGATAGAATCTGCACCCTTGGCATATGGGCCGGGGTGGGGAGGGTGATGCTCTAACTAACTGAGCTACCCAGCCAGAACATGAATGGTCATTTTAGTTTTGTGAAATGAAGCCAGTGGTCTGTACAGCATTAGAAGGACCTCTGATCTGCTAACTAGCTGTTGTTTCTTTGGATTTTTTTCTAGAACAGGAGACTTTAAGCATCCTTCCTCAGGGTTCTTGGGTCTGTGGAGGGAGCTCAGGGGCTGGAAATGGGGGTGCAGAGGCAGATTGGTGGGGCTCCAGGCCTCCCACATTGCTCCCATCCCCAGCAGCTCTGCTCTATCTTTTTGTTTTGTTTTGGAGGTTTCTACACCAACCAACCGAGCAGATCGGTTAACTAGGCTGATTGGCCTAAGTGGAGTGGTACTTCAGCAGCAGCAGGTGCTGTGATGTCAACCAGAGCCTTAGGCAAAGGAAATATGATGCTAAGATGAAGATTTAGGAGAATTATAAAGAAAAACATTATGGATCACATCTGAAGTTATGACCAGGGTTGATTCAGCATTGGATCAGAAAAACAATGAGCTCTACTTACGTTTTTTTCTCCTTTAAAATCATGCTTCTCGCCCTGGTTGGTACGGCTCAGTGGATTGAGTACTGGCCTGCAGACCAAAGGGTTACCGGTTTGATTCCCACTCAGGGCACATGCCTGGGTTGCTGGCTGGATTCCCAGTGGGAGGGGCAGGGCGTGAAAGGCAACCACACATTGATGTTTCTCTCCCTCCCTTTCCCTCTCTCTAAAAATAAATAAAATCTTTTTTTTTAAAGTCAAATCATGCTTCTCATCTATCACTCTTCTGACTAGTGCCTGGTGATGTTAAATATGGTTGGTGGGGCAGAGCGAGGAACAGTTTTGGCTGCTGGTCACTCAGTTGCTCAACGTTGTTGTCCATTATTTAGTTTTGTTCTTAAATGAATGGACGGATGGCTGGGTAGATGGATGGTCCTGTTTGTGAGCCTGGCTACGGGCAGCCCACGAAGGGTTTGTAGTCTAGCTGCAGTGACATGGGCACTGAAAGGGACCGGAGCCTCGGGAAGAGCTCTGTGATCCACATCACAGGTGTGGTGCCCCTGAGGGCTGCTGGCTCAGACCAGTGGCCTAATGTTGATCTGAGCAGCATACCAGACCTCTTACCATTTGATGACCAGGGTGTGTTACATTCTTCCTTCCGGCAGAAATAGTCTGAGGGCCCATCAGAAGGGAGTAGAAAGTACGTGTTTCCGGCAAAAGGATCTGTGGGATGGAGGGATATTAAAGCAGGTCAGTTCTCAAATGCACCAGTCTCCAAGAACATCTGTCCTGTATCTACCTTCCTCTAAGCGAACTACTCTGAGGAACAGATAAATGAGACCCTGCCTGATCTTGAAGGATGTAATCTCCTTCTCCCCCCCCCCCAGCCCCAAAGAAACACCAAGCTTATCTGGTGTGTGTGGGGGTGGAGAGGGCACCCTGAGAGAGCATAGAGAATCAGCTTGTCCGTCTGCACTGTGGTTTTCTTTAGGTCTGATCTCTAAGCTGAGCTGTTTCACATCCTTACATGTGAAAAGGGTGACATGCGCCATGCTAGTCCCCTTTTTGATAATGAGCCAGTGTCCACAGAATCTCACCCTACCTATCAGCTGCAGCTCTTCCTGGATCAAAGTCATGGCCTCCCAGCTCTGAGCATTACATCCCAGCTGGGCATCTGCTTGCAGTTCTTCTGAAACTTGGGTCCCCTTTCCAGTCATGGCCGTCTTCCATCCTGAGTACTCCATTCCCTCCCTCAGTCCAGGCTCCCCACCACGCCCCACCTTCCTTCCCCTTTTCTGAGTCTTTCTCTCCTGCCTTCTCTGCCCAGATCTCTCCCAGCCGTTCTTTGAACTTCTCCAGCCCTTTCAGTTGGCGGCACACAGTTGGGCACTGAGGTATGAAATTCCCAACTGCACCAGTTTGTTTCATGTGTTCAGAACGAAATCTAATTAGTCTGCTGAATGCAGGGCCATGCCTGTTTCTCTGAGTCCAGGACAGCACCGGGCGGGCTCAGTAGGTGTCCCTAAGAACCTGCTGGCGGAGAAAGCCGGGTGCGGAGCCCAGCGGTGGGGGTGGGACAGCAGTTGTGTGTCTGCCCGCCCGTCCTGCACGGAAGGGGACGCGCGCTCCTTCCTCAGTTTCCCCGGGGCCGAAGTCTAGTCCGACGGGCCAGGCCCAGCTGGGGAATTTGCTCCGCTGGGAAGGGGAGGGGGTGGCGGGAAATGGTGCCTCGCTCGCCCCAGCGACATCAAACCCTCGTTTGGCGTGCGCGGACAATGGCTGTCTTATTTTCTCCATTCGCCGCGCACAATGCCGGATTCTCTCATTCACCCGCGGCGGTGCGAGCGAGGTAATTAGCCAGCGCCATTCAGCGCGGACACTATTGCTATGCGGGGGGGCGAGGACGCCCGCGTCGGGGGGATTAGCCGCGGGCCGGGGTGCGCAGCTGCGGCCACTTCAAAGGGGCCCGGCCGGCGGGCTGTGGGAACCCGCGCCGCCCCCGCCCCCGCCCGGGCCGCCCCGCCGCCGCCGCGCCCTGCGCTCGCCCCGGCTGCTCGGCCCGAGCTCCCGCGGCCGCGCTCGCCCCCCATCACACTCCCACTTTCATCAGGACCTCGAGTGCTGTTTTTTCTTTTGAGTCCCGGGAGTCAAAGGGCAAGGAGGGGAAGGGGCGGGAGGAGCCGGGGGGATGGGAGCGTGACACAAAGCGCTGACCTCGCAGGAGCGGAGCAGATGGTCCCACTTACTCCCGCCGCCGAGCCAGCGGCTCTCAGGGCCTCGGGCTCCCGGCCCCGACCCCGCCTGCCGCCCGAATGCCTGGACTGGGGCCCCGCGGGGACTGCGCTCCCGCCCGCAGGCGCCCCCGCTCGCCGCGCGGCTCACTCCGCGGCTCGGCCGCCGCAGTCGGGCTGCCTGGGTCCGCGGGCCCCCCGCCGGGCGCGAGCGCTGGGCGGAGAGTCTGCCCTTTTCTGACGCTGGAGCCCTAGATGGGGAATCTCAAGAACCCGGGGGAACAGGGGATCCGAGCCCTGATTACGCATATGGGACACACTCGGAGCTTTAGCAGGAAGAGGGATTCCTGAGCACCACACCAGACCTTGCGGTCTGAGAGTCTGGCAGTGGAGTCCAGCTGCACTGCCTCGCAGCTTCCCGGATTCTTCTGAGGAACAGCCAAGTTTGCTGATGGGAGAGCCTAGTACAACTCCTTTGTTTTATTGGAGTCGAGACCCAAGTGGGGGAAGTAACTTACCCAGTGATAGACACTGAGTTGTGTCAGGGTAGGGTGAAAGGGATGACCTCCCAGGCTCATATGACCCTTAAGGTCATTCAGGAGATAGTTTGTGAGGACTTCCTTTTTACCTCATTATTTATTTGTTCTAGGTGCTGGCAAGTAGAAAAGTAAATTAGACTCTTCTCTGCCTCTAAGGGCTAGTGGAAGGGTGGACCTGTGAAAAACCGACTAACACAGTCTGATAATGCTAGGACAGAAGTAGGAGACAACACCGTCCAGGCAGGAGTTCATTCTGCCTCTGGGGCATGTGGAGGATGAAGGTGCTCACAGAGAAAGAAGCAGAAGAGTTTCAGGCAGAGGGGACAGCAGAAGAAATACAAGCATGGACATCGATGTCATGTCCAGAGAAGGCAAACTTATCTCAAATGGTCAGAGTACAGTTCCCACGGAGAGAGGACTATCCAGCATTTGAGGCTGGAAAGATGAAGCAGGACCTAATAACCAAGACCTTAAATGTCATTCCAAGGACAGTACCTTGATTCAAGGCAATGGAGAACCACTGAAGATGTTTAATGAACGTAGTGGATATTCTGGAAGATGATTATCGGTTCAAGCTGGAGAAAGAGGATGAAAGAGATCTAGAAGGCTGGAAAGGGGAAGCTATTAGAGAAAGAGAAATAGTTAAGAGTGATAAGAACCTAAGCCAAGGCAACGGGATGGAAAAGGGAGGGCAGACCGGGGTTCGGTGACCAGTCAGCTGTTGTGGGAGAGGCAAAGGGAGAGGATGGGGTGGCAGTCCCAGAGACTCCCTGATCCTGCTGTGGAATGTAGGCTCCAGCTCCCCCCAAACAGGTAAGGCTTATCCTGGTGTGGTGTTGGGGTAGAGGAACTGCAGGCCCTACTCTGTCATGGATTGGCGTTAAGTCACAGAGATTCCATACAGTCATGAACAGGAGCACGGCACCAGGTCAGGGTTCGAGAACTGGAGAGGTCCTCCGATGGGTGAAGGGGGACCATTCTAGCCTGTGTTATCTTAGAATCTTAATGTTGGGATGGGCCTTGGAGATGATTCTGTCCATTCTACCCCACTCCCATTTTACAGATTGGAATTCAAAGGAGTCTGTGACAGAGGCCAGCATGACCCCGGGTCGCCTCTGTACCACCTAACCCCTACATACTACATTAGTCCTTACAGACCCTAATACTGTATGTGGCTCTGGAAATTTGGGGGAAGTATCTGTTTTTGTTGAGTAAACCTCATGGTCATGTGAAAGCAATTTACTTAATAGCTCCAGCCTGAGCCCCCTAACCAGAGGCCCTTCCGGGAGGTGAGGGAGATCCGGTGTCCTGACCAGAACGACGGAAGTTAAGGATGTTGTGGGCCTGGGCAGATTTACATAAGGAAGATTGGTGACCCTGACACAGGCGGAGACAGGCAGTCTGTGGAGAGGGGCTCTGCTGGGCCTGGACATTTTCAAGTCTGAGGCAGAGAGTGATTCCCAAGTTCATTCCCAGCCCCTAACCCTGCACCCTTGGCTGGCGCTTGGAAGCAGATGTGCCTCAAAGGCTGCAGCTGGGTGAGACTTTATAACTTATCTAACTCAGCTCCCCCATTTTACAGAGAAGGAAAGAGAGGCCCAGAGAAGGGCTTTGGCTTTATCAAGATCACACATCCAGATTTGCAACCACATGAATGACCTTGAAAGTATTATGCTAAGTGAAATGAGTCAGAGAAAGAAATTCTATTCACTTGTATGTGGAATCTAAAAATGAGCTCGTAGCATCCTGGAGATGTGACGTACAGACAGCATGGCAACTATAGTTAGTAATATTGTAGTGCAGTTTTGAAAGTTGCTAAGGGAAAAGATCTTGAAAGTTCTCATTACAAGAAAAAAACAATACAGTAACTGCGTTTATGGTGATGGATGTTGAAACATTGTGATGATTATTTTACAGTCTATACAAGTATCGAATCATTATGTTGTACCCCTGAAACAAACAAAATATGCCAATTATACCTCAACTTAAAAAACAAAAAGATTTTAAAAAACCACACATCCAGTCACTAAAAGGACTTAATCATTTACCCGATTACCCCTCCCCCTAGCAATTCCACCACCTCCCCCCCCAACTCACTCCACAGAAGCCACTAGCATTTCACAATACTCTACCCTCCCCACCAAAACCAGGAAGATAAACTGCTTCTCTCTTTTATAAGGCCCCAAGAGGAGTAGCCCTGTAGCTTGGACTAACTCAATTGCCAAGTTGGAATTGCTCAGGGAAGAGTACCCTTGGCTAATGGTCTTGGTTATTTATTCACCTGTGTTGATAGAATTTAGGAAACAAGTGCGGC